AGGGGAATGTTTTCAGCCTCTCTCCATTAAGAATGATGTTGGCCATTGGTTTTGCTCAAATTTCTTTTAAATTTTATTTTAAAACTTTTTGTGGCACAGAAATTGGAACACTTATCCATTGCTGATGGGATTGTAAAATGGTGTAGCTGCTGTGGAAAACAGGATGGTGGCTTCTCAAAAATTTAAACATAGTACTACCTTGTTGTTACGTGTGTCCAGTAGGTTCTGACTCATAGCGACCCCATCTACAACAGAATGAAACACTGCCCAGTCTTGCACCATCCTCGAAATCATTGTTATGTTTGAGCCCATCGTTGCAGCCATTGTGTCAATCCTTCTCTTTGAGGGTCCTCCTCTTTTTGGCTGACCCTCTACTTTTCCAAGCATGATGTCTTTCTCCAGGGACTGGTCCTCCTGATAACATGTCCAAAGTACACCATCCTCCCTTCTAAGGAGCACTCTGGTGGTACTTCTTCCAAGACAGACTTGTTTGTTCTTCTGGCAGCCCATAGTATATTCAGTATTCTTTGCCAATACGTTAACTCAAAGGAATCAATTCTTCTTCAGTCTTCCTTATTCATTGTCCAGCTTTCGCATGCATATGAGGCAACTGAAAGTATAATGGCTTAGGTCAGGTGTACTTTAGTCCTCATAGTGACATCTTTGTTTTTCAACACTTCAAAGAGGTCTTTTGCAGCGGATTTGCCCAATGCAATATGCCATTTGATTTCTTGACTGCTGCTTCCATGGGCATTGATTGTGATCCAAGTAAAATGAAATCCTTGATAATTTCAATCTTTCCTCCATTTATTATGATGTTGCTTATTGGTCTAGTTGTGAAGATTTTTGCTTTTCTTTATGTTGAGGTCTAATCCATACTGAAGGCTGTAGTCTTTGATCTTCATCAGTAAGTGCTTCAAGTCCTCTTGACTTTCAGCAAGGAAGGTTGTGTCATCTGCATAACGCAGGTTGTTAATGAGTCTTCCTCCAATCCTGATGCTGCATTCTTCTTCATATAGTCCAGCTTCTCAGTTATTTGCTCAGCATACAGATTGAATAAGTATGGTGAAAGGGTACAACCCTGACACGCACCTGTCTCGATTTTAAACCACGCAGTATCCTCTTGTTCTGTTTGAACCCCTACCTCTTGGTCTAGGTACAGGTTCCTCACGAGCACAATTAAGTGCTCTGGAATTCCCGTTCTTTGCAACGTTATCCATAATTTGTTATGATCCACACAGTCGAATGACTTTGCATAGTCAATAAAACAGGTAAACATCTTTCTGGTATTCTCTGCTTTCAGCCAAGATCCATCTGACATCAGCAATGATACCCCTTGTTCCACGTCCTCTTCTGAATCTGGCTTGAATTTCTGGCAGTTACTTGTTGATGTACTGCTGCAACCACTTTTGAATGATCTTCAGCAAAATTTTATTTGCATGTAATATTAATGATATTGTTAAATAATCTCCACATTCTATTGGATCACTTTTCTTTGGAATGGGCACACATATGGATCTTTTCCAGTCAATTGGCCAGGTAGCTGTCTTCTAAATTTCTTTGCATAGACGGGATCACCTCCAGTGCTGCATCAGTTTGTTGAAATATCTCAATTTGTATTCACTCAATACCCGGAGCCTTGTTTTTTGGCAATGCCTTCAGTGCAGCTTGGACTTCTTCCTTCAGTACCATTGGTTCTTGATCATATGCTCCCTCCTGAAATGGTTGAACATTGAACAATTCTTTTTGGTACATTGACTCTGTGTATTCCTTCCATCTTCTTTTGAAGCTTCCTGCATCGTTCAATATTTTGCCCATAGAATCCTTCAAAACTGCAACTCAAGTCTTGAATGTTTTCTTCAGTTCTTTCAGCTTGAGAAATGCTGAGTGTTCTTGCCTTTTGGTTTTCTAACCCATTTCATTATAATACTTTGTCTTCTTGAGCTGCCCTTTGAAATCTTATGTCCAGCTCTTTTACTTCATCGTTTCTTCCATTTGCTCTAGCTACTCTACATTCAAGAGCAACTTTCAGAGTTTCATCTGACATCCATTTTGGTCTTTTCTTTCTTTCTTGTCTTTTTAATGACCTTTTGCTTTCTTCATGTAAGATGTTCTTGATGTCATCACACAACTCATCTGGTCTTTGGTCATTAGTGTTCCACGCATCAAATCTATTCTTGGGATAGTCTATAAATTTAGGTGGGATATACTTAAGGTTGTACTTTGGCTCTCCTGGACTTGTTCTAATTTTCTTCAGCTTCAACTTGAACTTGCATGTGAGCAATTGATGGTCTGTTCCACAGTCGGTTCCTGGCTTTGTTCTGACTGATGATATTGAGCTTTTCCGTCATCTCTTTCCACAGATGTAGTCGATTTGATTCCTGTGTTTTCTGTTAGGTGAGGTCCGTGCGTATAGTTGCTGTTTATGTTACTTGAAAAAGGTATTTTCAGTGAAGAAGTTGTTGATCTTGCAAAATTCTATCATGTGATCTCTGGTATCGTTTCTATTACCAAGGTCATATTTTCCAACTACAGATTCTTCTTTGTTTCCAACTTTCGAATATCAATTACCAGTAATTAACAACACATTTGATTGCATGTTTGATCAATTTCAGGCTGCAGAAGTTGGTAAAAATCTGCAGTTTCTTAATTTTTGGTAATAGCGGTTGGTGGGTAAATTTGAATAATGGTCATGTTAATTGGTTCCCCTTGTAGGTGTATGGATATTTTCCTATCACTGACAGCACTGTACTTTAGGATAGATCTTACAATTTTCTTTTTGACAATGAATGCAACTCCATTCCTCTTCAATTTGTCATTCTAAGCATAGTAGATCATATGATTGTCTGATTCAAAATGGCCAATACCAGTCCATTTCAGCTCACTGTTGCCTAGGATATCAATCTTTGTAAGTTCCATTTCATTTTTGACGACTTCCAATTTTCCTAGATTCATACTTTGTGCATTCCACGTTCCAATTATTAATGGATGTTTGCAGCTGTTTCTTCTCATTTTGAGTCGTGCCACATCAGCAAATTAAGGTCCCAAAAGCTTGACTCCATTTACGTCATGAAGTTTGACTCTAGTTTGAGGAGGCAGCTCTTCCCCTGTCGTCTTTTGAGTGCCTTCCAACCTGAGGGGCTCATCTTTCTGCACTATATCAGACAGTGTTCCTCTGTTATTCACAAGATTTTCATTGGCCAATTTTTTCAGAAGAAGACCATAAGGTCCTTCTTCCTAGTCTGTTTTAGTCTGGAAGCTCCGCTGAAACCTGTTCACCATGGGAGACCCTGCTGGTATTTGAAATATTGGTGGCATAGCTTCCAGCATCACAGCTACATGCAAGCCACCACAGTATGACAAACTGACAAACATATGGTGGTGGATATACTGGATATACTTTTTTCTGACTCACATAAAAGTAAATATTAAATGTTTAACATTGAATGCTTCCTTGGGTACCATCTGAAACTATCTTGCACACCAGAGGTGGTCTGGGTACTACACTTTGGGGAATATTGCTATACACAAATTCTCTGTTATATTCCTTGCCCTTAGAACATACTTTCCATGTTTTAACCTGGTTTTTCTGCAGTTCTTTCACTTCCTTTCCCAGTCAATTCAATTCAGTAAACATTGTGATTGGCACTGAGGATGTAGCTAATGATAAGATACAGTTTTTCCTTCAAGGAGTTTATACTCTGGTAGAGGAATTACCAAGCCAGGAGCCTAATAGAATATAAAAATCATACCTGTCTTTTTTAATGCCCAGCTCTAATTCTACTTCTTATGAAAGTCCTTCATGAATTACCCCTAGCCAAAGAGATTTTCCTCATCTGAAATTTTCCTGTTATATTTAGTGTACTGAATAATTTATTTTACACTTACCACTTAATAATGGCTTTTATTATTTATTCTTGTACTTTGTTTTTGTGTTCTCTTTTATATTTATCTTCTCCATGAAGATTTATTTTACATTCCTCTGTAAGGTTGCTATGAGTTGGAATCGACCTGCCAGCAATCGGTTTTTTTACTTTTACTTTTTTCTATGGATGTTGTACTTAGTAGCGACTCAATAAACAGCTGTTTGGTTAGACAAAGAAATACCATACTTCTTAAAGAAAAACAACTCTACATTTCTTTAATCAGAGTTTTATTTCAGAAAATTTGTATTGTCCTGACAATAATTTATTATGAATATAAACTTAGAAAAACTCACATTTGGAAGCTTATGTTTGAGACTGAGAAAGCTAAAAAGATGAAATTTCTAAAGGCTCTTTCAAAGGAACAAAACCTTGTGACTAAAGAGGATGCAAGGAGTCTATCATTTTTAATTTATACCACAGGTGACTGGAAGCTGGTTTTGAAGTTGATGTGTTGTAGTGAAATTATTCAATTCTCTTTTGTTCTTTATAAACTATGGTGCTATCTGTTCCTCAGTATGACCTTCTTTTACTTGCCCTTTTGCTCCAGGAAACCTCTTTCTGGCCTTTGTCCTTCTTGTCCTCTTTACTCCCCCTTTTTTTCACAGTACTCCTTTTCTTGTCCTTGCCCTCCTTGCCCTTGTCTGCTTTCTGGTCCTCATCTTCCTTCTTGTCCATGTCTTTATTATTCTCGTCCTTGCCCTCTTTCTTGTCCTCATCTTCTTCCTTGTCCTCCTCCTTGATTTCCTTATCCTCATCTTCCTCCTGGTCCTTGTCCTCCTTATCCTCATATTCCTCCTTTTCCTTGTCCTCCTTATCCTCATCTTCCTTCTTGACCTTGTCCTCCTCATCCTCCTCATCCTCATCTTCTTTCTTGTCCTTGTCCCTTTCCTTGTCCTCCTTATCCTCATCTACTTTCTTGTCCTTGACCTCCTTATCCTCATCTTCCTTCTTGTCCTTGTCCTCCATATCTTCATCTTCTTTCTTGTCCTCGTCCTCCTCCTTGTCCATGTCTTTTTTGTCTTTGTGCTTGTCCTCCTTTGTGTCCTCTTCTTCTTTCTTGTTCTTGTCCTCCTTCTTATTCTCATCTTCCTTCTTGTCCTTGTCCTCCTTCTTGTGCTCATCTTCCTTCTTGTCGTTGTCCTCTTTCTTATCCTTATCTCCCTTCTTGTCCATGTCTTTATTGTCTTTGTTCTTGTTGTCCTTCTTGACCTCATCTCCCTTCTTGTTCCCTTCCTCGTTTCCCTTCTTGTCCTTGTCCTCCTTTTTGTCCTCATCTACCTTCTTGTCCTTGCCCTCCATTTTGTCCTTATTCTCCTTCTTATCCTTTTCTTCCATTTTGTCCTTGGCCTCCTTTTTGCCTTTACCCTCCTTATTGTTCTTGCTCTCCCTTTTCCCCTTATCTTTCATATTCTTGCTTTCCTTTTCGTGCTTATCCTTCTTGTCCTTGCCCTCCTCTTTCTCCTTATCCTCCTTAATACCCTTATCTTCCTGCTTGTAGTTTTCTTCCTTCTTGTCCTCATTCTCCGTCTTGGTTTCACCTCTCTTCATGTCCTTGTTCTCCTTGTCTTCACCTCCCTTCATGACCTTGTCCCCCTTCTTGTCTTTACCTCCCTTCATGCTCTCATCCTCTTTCTTATCTTTACTTCCCTTCATGTCCTCGTCTTCCTTCTTGACTTCATCTCTCTTCTTGTTTTTATCTGTCTTGTTATCTTCCTTTTCATCCTTGTCCATATTCTCCTTTTTGTCTTCACCTCCCTTCTTATCCTTGTCCTCCTTTTTCTTCTTTTGTTCACCATCTTGTTCCTTCAGTTGGCCTTTGTCTATTTCCTTTTCCTTGCCTGTACCCTTCTTAGTATCTTCCTTTTCTCTCTTCTCTTCTTTACACTGAGTTTTCTTAGGAAACTCTTGAACTTTCACTCGAGTTTTCTGTTTTTGTCCCTTTTCATGGATATCCTCAGGACCCCTTACTTTTTTATACTGGCATTTAGGACCACTTTGGCGATTTTGTGATGAGACTGCCTGAATTCTCAAAGCAGTTTCCTGTTTTGGGGTCATTTTCCTTGCTTCTCTAGTGCCACTTTTTACTTCTGGTTTTGAATATCCTCTCAAATTACCTGAAAATATAACAAAGCATATAATAAAAGTGCATAGTTCATATCTTAAGTAATTTCTTTGAATTGCTATTTTTGTTATCAGACACTTTTGCATTAAGTTTGAGGCAATAAAGTTGTTTTCCTAATAATATAAAATGTGTAAAGCTGTATACACACACAGGGTTAGATAAGAGATCCTTGAAATACAAACTTTTTCAGAGACTTGAACTGAGAAAAGAGAAAAATATGGCAATACAGAGGAGTTGGGCAATTGCTCATTAGAATATGGCTAGAGACTACAATTAAGGAATAATAGATAATTAGCCTAAAAAAGAAGAGAAACTTTTTCTGAGAAAATTATACTTTTAAATAATGTTATGATTCCTTAAAGAAGCTCCACCACCCTTTGAGTAATAAGGATAATTGCTAAACCATCGCCTTTGAAAGAAAAGGAGGCTGAGACTTTCCTTGGCTATCTTAGGGGTTTTCAGGAAATTTGCATTAAAAGCAATTCAGAAATGGAAGTGTTACTTAAGGAAGAAAAACAGCTAGTTCTTGTAGTGCCCATGCTAAACAGAAATATTTATTGCTATGTGCTACAAAGCAAACTAGACAATATTTTTACAAATAGGAAAAATAGAGCATGATTATTTGTTTTATTGGAATGCATATTCTTTTAACTACATGTAAATGCATTTCATTATGTTTAATTTATCTTCAGTGTTTGCTTCTGTTGTGTTTCAGTGTACCTTTCCTTATTTCATATAGTGCAAATAATGGTAATAGATACTGAAATGTGGTAGAAAATATAATTTAAACAAGTAATGGAAGTAAGAGTTCTCTCTGAATTGGAAATGAATCAAGGGTTTAATGAGAGCTCATGTTGTTGTGCATCATACTGTCTTCCCTTGGTAAGAGAGTCTCAGATACAAGACACCGGACATTCAGATTTATTCATTTACTTCTGCCCATCTGTAAATTACATGTGCTCTTATTGGCTTTTCCTGATTTATCTGATAGGCTGAAGTCTAGGTGGGCGTTTTGTGTTTGAAAGTTGCATTATCCATACTGGGCACCCTTATTCCTCCCTTTCTGTATTTTATTAGTGAAGGAAAGTTAACTTTTGGGGAGCTGGAGCACATAGCAGCTTGGAAGTTGGGGTAATAAGCATGAATTGATTCATAATTTGTTAAAATAGGCTGATGATGTTGGGGCTAGGGAGATGGGTGAGCAATCACTATGAAGAACATCCTCAAGAGATATTCTAGCATAGAATGTGGGCATTGTGGAATAGGGTTAATTCTTGTTTTGAGAAGGCTAGTTAGACTGAATTTATGGTAGTAAAGTGACCATTGGATGATGAGTCAAGAAACATTTGAGTTCTTTTACTTATTATGTGGTCTTTGCCTGTGTTTACCTCATACTTCTGTGTGACCAAAATGAGATAAAAGACTTCAATGTGATTTTCAAAATTGTTAAAATAGTGTATGAAATATATATTTGAGTTTCACATTTTGCAGTACAAGAGGAATTTCTACTTTAAAATGTAATTACTATGTTGTTGTTAGGTGCTTTTGAGTCAGTTCTGACTCATAGCAACCCTATGTACCACAGAATGAAACACTGCACGGTCCTGTGCCATGCTCACAGTCATTGTTATGCCTGAGCCCATTGTTGCAGCCACTGTGTCAATCCATCTCATTGAAGGTCTTCGTCTTTTTCGCTGACCCTGTACTTTATCTAGCATGATGTTCTTCTCCAGGGACTAAACCCTCCTGACAACATGTCCAAAACATGTAAGACGTAGTCTCTCCATCATTGCTTCTAAGGAGCATTCTGGTTGTACTTCTTCCAAGACAGATTTTTTCATTCTTTTGGCAGTCCATGGTATATTCAGTATTCTTCACCAACAACACAATTCAAAGGGGTCAATTCTTCCGTCGGTCTTCCTTAGTCATTGTCCAGCTATCGCATGCATATGACACGATTGAAAATACCATGGCTTGGGTGAGGCTCGCCTTAGTCTTCAAGGTGATATCTTTGCCGTTCAACACTTTAAAGAGGTCTTTTGCAGCAGATTTGCCCAATGCAATGTGTCTTTTGATTTCTTGACTGCTGTTTCCATGGGTGTGGATTGTGGATCCAAGTAAAATGAAATCCTTGACAACTTCAGTCTTTTCTCCGTTTATCATGATGTTGTTTATTGGTACATCTGTGAGGATTTTTGTTTTATGTTGAGGTGTAATCCATACTGAAGACTGTGGTCTTTGATCTTCATCAGTAAGTGCTTCAAGTCCTCTTCACTTTCAGCAAGCAAGGTTGTGTCATCTGCATAACGCAGGTTATTAATGAGTCTTCCTCCAATCCTGATGCCCCATTCTTCTTCATATAGCCCAGCTTCTCAGATTATTTGCTCAGCATACAGATTGAATAGGTATGGTGAAAGAATGCAACCCTGACGCACACCTTTCCTGACTTTAAGCCACGCAGTATCCCCTTGTTCTGTCCGAACAACTGCCTCTTAATCTATGTACAGGTCTCTCATGAGCACAATTAAGTGTTCTGGAATTCCCATTCTTTGCAATGTTATCCATAATTTGTTATGATCCACACAGTTGAATGCCTTTGCATAGTCAGTAAAACACAGGTAAACATCTTTCTTGTATTCTCTGCTTTCAGCTAGGATCCATCTGACATCAGCAATGATATCCCTGGTTCCACATGCTCTTCTGAATCTGGCCTGAATTTCTGGCAGTTCCCTGTTGACATACTGCTGCACCTGCTTTTGAATGAACTTCAGCAAAATTTGACTTGCGTGTGATATTAATGATATTGTTCAATAATTTCTGCATTCGATTGGATCGCCTTTCTTGGGAATAGGCATAAATATGGATCTCTTCCAGTCAGTTGGCCAGGTAGCTGTCTTCCAAATTTCTTGGCATAGACAAGTGAGCACTTCCAGCACTGCTTCCATTTGTTGAAACATCTCAACTGATATTCCGTCAATTCCTGGAACATTGTTTTTCACCAAAGCTTTCAGTGCAGCTTGGACTTCTTCCTTCAGAACAATCAGTTCTGATCATATGCTACCTCTTGAAATGGTTGAACATCGACCAATTCTTTTTGGTATGATGGCTGTGTGTATTCCTTCCATCTTCTTTTGATGCTTCCTGCTTCGTTTAATATATTCCCCAGAGAATCCTTCACTATTGCAACTCAAGGCTTGAATTTTTTCTTCAGTTCTTTCCGCTTGAGAAATGCAGAGCATGTTCTTCCCTTCTGGTTTTCTATATTATAATTACTACAAAATCCAATGCCGTCAAGTTGATTCCGACTCACAGCAACACTATAGGACAGAGTAGAACTACCCCATAGGATTTCCAAGGAGTGCCTGGTGGATTTGAACTGCCGAACTTTTGGTTAGCAGCAGTAGCTCTTAACCACTACACCACCAGGGTTTCCATAATTACTATAGTGATCTTTAATTTAAAACATTTCGTGGTTAAAAGTATAAAAATTTTAATAAAAAAGGTAGGACAAAAAATATCATCCATAGTTCCACCACCCAAAGGCTACCATTTTTTATTTATCTTATTTTATACCTAAATGCTTAGATTTTATTTGGAATTTTTTTATATACTTATCGTCTAAGTATAACAATATTTTCAACAATTTTATGCCATATGTTTTATTCAATATAATAAGACTTTTTTATATTACAACTTTTTATAAAAAGTTTTAAGGGTGCTATGTTATTCTTTTAAATAGTAAATATGTCTTAAAATATTTTAGGTTTACACTATTTGTGAGACAGGGGTCCCTGGGTGGTACAAATGGTTAAGCGCTCTATTAATAACCAAAAGTTTGGTGGTTCGAACCTACCCAGAGGCGCCTCAGAAGAAAGGCTTGGTGATCTGCTTTTGAAAGGCTACAGCCTTGAAAACCCTACAGAGTGCAGTTCTACTCTGCACATATGAGGTTACCATGAGCTGGAATCGACTCGATGCAGCTGGTTTGGTTTTTTGAGTTTTGGAGTTATTGTTAGTAAAGTGTTTTTTTTTTTTTTTTAATTCTACTGTGTTTTAGGTGAAAGTTTACAGCAAGAATGAGTTTTTCATTCAAAAATTTTATACACAAATTGTTTTGTGACTTTAGTTGCAATTCCCACAATGTGTTAGCACTCTCCCCTTTTCTCTTTCTACCCTAAGTTTTCAGTGTCCATTCATCCAGTTTTCCCGTCCCTTCCCACCTTGTCATCTTTGCTTTTGGGCAGTTGTTGACCACTTGGTCTTGTATACTTGATTGAACTAAGAAACACATTCCTCACGTGTGTTATTGTTCGTTTTCTAGGCCTGTCTAATCTTTGGCTGAAAGGTGGACTTCGGGAGTGGCTTCAGTTCTGAGTTAGCAGGGTGTCCGGGGCCCATAGTCTCAGAGGTTCCTCCAGTAAGTCTGGTCTGTTTTTTTGTGTGTGAACTTGAATTTTGTTCTACATTTTTCTCCCATTCTGCCCAGGACCCTCTATTGTGATCCTTGTCATAGCGGTTGGTGGTTATTGTTAGTAAATTTAATAGTTTTGCTGATCCCTTAGGATAACCAGTCCTAAGATATCACTTCTTTAATCTTTTTTTTTAGTTAACAGATCTCACTCAATTTAGAAATCACTAGTGAGCTAGGGCTATTGAATAAGTACATCAATCCAAGGCCATGCTTGGGTAGAGTTGAAGATAGAGCAAAACAAAGTTCCCCAAATCACTTAGGATATCTGTGGATTCTAGAACTGAGAAACAGAGAAGGAACTTACCAGTGGGCATGGGAGATACTGCTAGAAAACAAGCAGACATAACACATTAGATTGTTTTTTGGTTTCAGTATGTAGTTTCTACTCATGGTATTTGCAGAGGCCCATTAGAAATGAGACCTTCAGGGAAGACCAAACCTTTCATTTTTTCCAGGAGCAATAAAATATGATATGAGATCATATATGTTATTCCTTCCTGTCAGGTTCCCAAAGTGTGTTG